ATTCTTAATAATTGGCACTCGCCAACAGTTAAAAAAGATAGAAATTAACTCTGTACGAGTGGGCGATGTGAATATCAAACCAGCGGAAAGTGTTCGGGATTTGGGTGCTTGGTTTGATAAAAACATGTCCATGGATGTTCACGTAGGAAAGGTATGCAGCAAAGCATTCAGAGGTTTATATAACATCAGACAAATAAGGAAGTTCCTTTCTCAGGAGGCGACCAAAACTCTTGTGCACGCATTTATAACGTCACATCTAGACTACTGTAATTCTCTATTGTTTGGGATTCCTCAGTATCAGTATCAACGCTTACAAAGAGTTCTAAACGCCGCTGCAAGGATGATATGCTATACACCCAGAACTTCTCATATTACTCCAGTTTTAATGCATCTTCATTGGTTACCAATAAAGTTTCGAGTGGAATTTAAAATTGGTTTATTAGTGTATAAAGCCCTAAATGGAATGGCACCTCAATACATCACCGACTTATTGTCATTTAAACCCGAAGGCAATTACCATTTAAGATCAGATGATTATTTGTTGCTGCAAATTCCCAAAACAAACTCAAAAACACTTGGAGATAGATAATTTAAGCATGCTGCTCCTCTAATATGGAACTCTCTCCCACTTAACATTAGGCGGTGTGAAACTGTTAACTGTTTTAAAACTCATTTAAAGACATTTCTATTTAGGAAGGCGTATAAATAGACCAATTTTAAGAACTATTAGTGTGTATATATATATATATATATATATATATATATATATATATATATATATATATATATATATATATATATATATATATACTATATATATATATACTATATATATATACTATATATATATGTACTATATATACACTATATATATATATATATATATATATATATATATATATATATATATATATATATATATATATATATATATATATATATATATACTGTATATATATATACTATATATATATATACTATATATATATATATATATATACTATATATATATATACTATATATATACCGGGTGGCGCAAAAAAAAGTACAACTGTTTGATTACTTGTAACTCAGAAACAATAAGCAGTAGAACCATAAATCGAGTTTAATTGCATCCAGCGATATCTAACTTAAATTTTGGTATATTTGACAGGCATATTCGTCCAAGATTAACTGAGATATAAGAGTTTAAACTTTTGTTAACAATTTTGAAACAGTCACAAATTAGCTAAAAATCAGTTTAATAGGCCGTTTTTAGCTAATTTGTGACCGTTTCAAATTTGCTAACAAAAGTGTAAACACTCATATCTCAGTCAATCTTGGACGAAAATGCCTGTCGAATATACCAAAATTTAAGTTAGACATCGCTGGATGCAATGAAACTCGATTTTGGGTTCTACTGCTTATGGTCTTTGAGCTATATGTAATCAAACAGTTATACTTTTTTTTGCGCCACCCGGTATATATTGTTTTAAATCTTTAAGACAACTCTAAGATTGTTGGCACGTATCTAGTTTTTTAGAATAGAGTCAGTTTAGTTATTATTGTAAGTTAAGTTTACCATTGTAAAGCGCTTTAGAATATTACTTCATAGATTTAAGCGCTATATTTAAATACTCAGATTATTTATTATTATATTTATATAAATAGTATATTGAAAATCATTAGAAAATCCTGTGTTATTAATTTATTACGTTATGTCTTTATATAATAGTATAATGAAAAGAACTTACATGTGTTTCCTGAAAGATTTTAACGAGAACCGGCCAAGATTGGCGTTGACAAGAGGTTAACGGCCATAATCCTCATGTGTGGAGTGAATTCTCTAATCCAAGTATTTTTTACATGTATATACGGCCTATCCTTGAATACGCATGCCAGGTTTGGAAGTACGGTGCTCCAGATTATTTAAAAGAAGAAGTTGAAAGAATTCAAAAACGCGCTTTACGAATAATACATCCCGATCTATCGTATCGGGAAGATATGAAACTTAATGGAATTCAATCACTATGGCTGTGGTATGTTTATGCATCATTGAAACTGAATGTAACATATAGCAAATACTCTATAACATGGGCGGTGGATTGTAAGAAGCACTGTAAACTTGAGAAGAGCGGAAAAATAAAGCAAGGTTCAGAGAGCTCCCAGGGTTGGAATCGAATGGTCGAGTTATGAAACCTATCGTCTTTAAAATGCCTCTTCATGTACTTTTAGTGAGACCAATTTTACGGACTTCGAACGGTCAAAATACCGGACAAAAGTTGTAAATTTGCATGCGATGCCTCTTTATTTCCCACGGCGTTTCCTTCGCTCCCTTTCCTAATCTTTTTCAGAAAAAAAATATAGAATAGGATGATTCTATGAATTTTAAAAAATACCATTACACTCTGCTCTAATTATGTTTGATTTTGAACTTGATAAAGTACTATACATCAATACAATTTATAGATGCCGAAAGATATTGCCTGGCCAGTCCGAGTGCACTTGGAATGGAGAATGGAGAGATTGAAGATTCGCAGATTACATCATCAAGTGGAAGGATCGAAGCATCAAATGGACGTTTGAATGCCTTCAACACCTACTGGTCGGCAAATTCTGCAGATAGGAACCAATGGATTCAAGTTTGTTTCCTCGAATCAGTAGCTTTCACAGCAATTGCCACTCAAGGTGATGGTGTAATTCCGTCATCGTCGGTGTCGTCATATGCTGTATCTTATAGTTTTGACGGAGAAACCTTTCAGAATTACACAGTTAATGGCACTCGAGAAGTAAGATGATGTACCTGCAGAGCAGTTTTTAATTTGCAGCGCGATGACAAAAAATCTTATGCTCAAACAAACTTTTGGCACCAAATGCGTAGATATATTTTTCTTCCAAAAAAAACAAAGAAATTTATTGCAGTGAAAAGCTCTAGCAGTACGTGAGTTTAGTCAGTTTGTATGACAGTTATGTTTGCCTGCAACTTTAATACTCTTTTAACGTCTTTCTCTAAAGGTGTTCACCGGAAATACTGACAGCGATACGGTTGTGACGAATACACTGACGCCATCGATAACTGCCCGCTGTATCCGGATACATCCACAAACATGGAACAGCAACATAGGGATGAGAATTGAACTTTATGGCTGCGGTATGTTTATTCATTATATTGAAACTGAATGTAGTGTATATAGCGAATAAATTAGAATTTAATTTAATAGAACAACTCCATGAATTAAAAAAAAAATACCATTCTGGCTCTGCTCTAATTACATTTGATTTGCGTTATTTCTAAGGACCTCATGCATATGCAATATACGACAATTGTGTTGATGCTCATCAGAAAGCTTGTCAATGGTAAGTATATATTTATCATTTATAGACCCGGAGCGAGGGGGATTCGGCGGAAAATTACCCGAAGTGATGATATTTTCCGAGGGGCTTTGCCCCGAGGAAAATATAATCACTGAGGGTAATATTTCGACAAATCCCCCGAGCGGAAGGTCTATAAATGATATATTATCCGAAAGTTAAAGAACCCACCAAGTTCAGAATAAACTTTTATCAAGTTCAGAATAAACCAGTTTAAAACTTGAAGCGAATACAATTTTTAATTTCTTATGTATACCCAAGTTTTTGACGTTTTCTCTTTAAAGTATTTGAGCATGCATCCCGTGGATCGTTGAAGATAACATACGTCCAGGCTTTTTTTCAGGGATTTTTTAGGGCCGTTAAACGGCCCCAAAATCTCAATCTTGAATTGAGTTTTGAAACTCAATCTTCTCACCAAAGTTTCAGTGCAGTAAAAATGAAGTTGCTTGAGTTAAATTCGTGACGTTTGGAAATTAGTCAGTTTTCAGTTGGAAACCCGATATTTAAGAAAAAATGGCTGGAATTCATCTCACAACACACGAAAAACTATGCATTCGCCATCTTTAACCAGTTTATAGTGTCCCTCAATGCCCCTGTTTTAACACATTCCGTCTCAACTACATTTATTGAGT